AGGAACTGCTAGGAAAAAAAGTAAGATTAAGATAGACATTCAGAGTAGGATCTACAATTACTTAGATATAAGGTAGAAACATACAGGAATATGTAATAATAAACGATAAAATTTGTGTTCCCTCATCCCATATTTACGGAATATTAAACTATAGCACATAGTCTATAAATACTCTTGACGTTTGTTTTATATATATATACATATATTGTTAATATGACAGTCTTGTTTCTCGTTTGTTTTTGTTTCTTTTCCTTTCTTCCCCTTTAACTTGAATTAGTGACCTATAAAGATGATATAGCTTTGTTTATTAACATTAATTAAGAACTGTGAATTAATACAGTTAATATGGAAAAAAAACCTGTCAAATTCTAAGTTGAAAGTTGTTGATATAATTTCTATTCTAGAAACTTTTGTAAAGCTTTTTAACATTTTGTTTTTTGTAAACTTTTTAATATTTTGAACTTTAATGAAGTATTTTTTTTTTATTTAAAAAAAAAAAAGAGTTTCCAGGGATCTATGCTGAGAGTTATTATCTCAGCGTACCAAGTTAGAGAAGACCTTGTCCATTTCATTCAGTTTGGACACTTAAATAAATTTTCTGGATAGTTTAAATATTTTTTTCTAGGACAATCCTGTATTTGGATATAAATTTGCTGGATCGTTGAAATATTTTTGGTGAGATAATCCTGTACTTGGATAGTGCTTTTCCAGTGAACCTGGCCCTCGTATTCTTGTAAAGGGGGTAACTGGTAGAATCGTAATGATTTACATTTTGCTTGGTTTCTAGGCGTTCCTTTCCCAAAGAATTTCATGTCTGTAGCTAAGACCATCTTGAAGCGTCTCTTCAGAGTTTATGCTCACATATATCACCAGCACTTTGATCCGGTTATCCAGCTTCAAGAAGAAGCACATCTCAACACGTCCTTCAAGCACTTTATCTTTTTTGTTCAGGTAAACAAATACAGCGATCAGTGGCTCTGATTTAATTTTGTACATACAAAATGATTCTTGTAGCTTTCTGCTGTTTTAAAGTGGGGGGAAACTCTTGGAATTTTCAGTAACTTAAAAACTGTTTACCAGAATCTTGACTTTGATGCTGTGCCACACTTGCATCACTTTAATTATTTAAATTCTGTGCCGCAGAATTGGGCACTTCTAAAAAATGCAGATCTAAAGTATGTATATGCATAAAAGTAATGAAAGCAGGAAGTAATAATGCTGTTGTAATTTCAATCGTATTTCATCAACTATAAGATGAGAATTGAATGTGCAGTTCCACAGCAGAAGTTGACATGTTTTAGGATTTGACATATGGAAACATCCATCTTGTGGATATAAAATGTTTTGTTAGTGTAACATCAAACTGAGAATGTACCTAAATACCAGATGCTCCCCATATTGTAAAGTATAATGTAATACAATGATGTCATGTTGATAGTTTACAATTGCAGATTTCTGCTTATAGTGGCAGGATGGATTAGATTTAAAACATTACTTAGAAAACTCAGTTTAATTATTAAAATTATAATTAATGCTTTTAGGAATATTCTGTAGCACATGATACTATTTGTAAACATTTTTGGCAGCATTTACCATTTCATACCTTTTCATTAGTTTTTTTGCCCCTTTCGTACTGATATTTATAGCATGCATTTTAATTCCGCTGTTTCATTTATCACCAGTGTTCCCCTGCAGATCTTTGAAATATTAAAACTGCATTTATTCAGAACGTGGAACATTTTCCTCTCAAAATTCATCAACAGTTGTTCTATAATTATCATTCAGCAGTGTAATGTGCAACTATCACAACTAATGGATTTCTATTTTCATGTACAATGACAACAGACTAAATTACATCAATTTATTTTTTCTAACATATACTTTAGCTCTTTCATTTGTAATTTAAAAACTATACCTTGACTTTTCTGCATATAACTTCCTTTCCCTAAGATCAAACCACCTCATTCAGAGTTATGCATCCTTCCCTTTTCCCTTCAGACACACGGCATATCTATTTTTCTTCTAATTTGTAAATTTGTACAGCTTACTGTTCATATGTCTTATATTCCCAAGCACAGTCATTTCAGTGCTGTGCTTGTCACCATAATGGGGTCATGGACAGTGACCTCTGCTGCCCATCATGCCTTGGACAATTGAGACTTTCACTCAACTCTTTTTTAGATAGATAACCTTTATTGTCACTTTTTTCTGTGAACACACTGGCAAACATTAAAGAATGAAATTTTGATGCCCGCTGTCAAAAGGAAAATAAATATATACCCATTCCCGTACCCATACATGCGTGTGTGTGTGTGTGTGGCCTAGAGATGGAACTCTCGCCTCACAATCAGGAGGCTGTGAGTTCGATCCTAGGTAGAGGCAGATATTTCTCTCTGGGCACACTGAGAATATATCTGCTGAAAAACACTCTGCATTGGTGACAGGAAGGGCATCCGGCCAATAACCACTCAGCTCCATTCAGTTGCCCCAATTCCACCCCACAAGGGATTATGGGGCCATTAAAAGAAGATGATGATGGTGGTGGTGGTGTGTGTATGCATATGTGTGTATGTACGTGTGTGTATATGTATGCACACACACATACACATCCAATATACAACCAACATACATTTTATACACATACCCACACTCACACACACATTATAAATATACACATCACACATATGCGTGCTCATGTATCCCCAATAGGTAATTTCTGGCTTGCTGTGAATGCCTCTAGAGATGGATAAAGTATATTCCTGAGAAGCAGGACTTTGTGACTTTTTCTCCCTAATCTCTCCCATAAATTGATTTTTGCTTCCCGTGATTTAATACCAGTAGTTTCCCTTAAGCATCCCACTGAGACTTTTTATTTTGTTTCTCCTTCCCACAGGAATTTAACCTTATAGACAGAAGAGAACTTGCTCCACTCCAAGAACTGATTGAAAAACTCACTTCCAAGGACAGATAAGCGAAAATGAAATGGTGGAGATCCAGTTTGTTTTCTTTAAGCAGGCATGTGGGGTTTTAGGGATTTGGGCTGAAATTCTCTACGCACTTAAGGTTCCACGGGACTTAACTCCCGAGTAAGTGTGTGGAGGTGGTTTGCAACCTTACGTTCGTTTGTTTTAGAAAGGAAAGGAAACTTCTGTTTTAATTCAGGCAACCTAGATCCATTCTCTGTGCTTTTTATTAGTGAAACCTCTTTCACTTAGTGAGATATACAGTACACACACACACACAGTAAATGGTTTTCTGTTCTTGTTCATTGTTATTGTTGATTTTTAGCAGATTGTTGTGTGTTAATAAAGGAAAATGACATGCTTGTTGGGAAATGTGACACTGCTAGTTGGAAAGTGCAGGATTGCCAGTCGTATATCATTCTCAGAAGGTCCTTAAAAGAGACTTAATCTTCTCTAAGTGCCTTGGTAGATTCTCTTCTGAGGTACAAAGCACATACAAAGAACATTGCTGGAAACAGAAAACACAAATAGCTACCCAGGACATTTATTAATACTTGTTATATGTAATTAATATGTGCAAACCTTTTCTAAAAGCCATAACGTCTGTCAGTGATCTCCAATCTTTTAAGAGAAAGCAATGACTTTAGAAGTGAACATAGGTTAGGGAAGAGAAGTCAGCAAGTAGCTCACTTTATTTTTATGAATAACATACTGAGCTACCCATCTGATACATCTTTGATACCGTAAGGGCCAAGAATAATTTTGGGCACACCGCTTTTCACAATTTACATTCTGCCAAGATTTTAACTCATTTTGATCTGAAAGTAGGATTATTTTTTTCTCAATCTGTACTTTATCAAACTGAACCTTAAACTTTCCTGTCCTTTAAATCAAGAGTCCTGCAGTGGCTTCAAGTCAAAATAAAAGGGAAGTAGTTTCTAAGGAATAATAATATTAATAAGGCAATATTTATAAATCTACCATAGTAATTTTAAAAAATGTGGATAAAACAACCCTAGTCTTTCAACTTTTAATAAGATAAATTGTCTCAGTCTATTTAACATAGAGTATACTTACCATTTCATTCATGCCTTCTAAATCCATAGGCCCCCTTATAATCTCAGCTGTACAAGAATGCTATAAAGGAAAGCATTTATCTCTGCAACATGATACAGTGATATTTTGGGATTTTTAGTGGGTGGGCATTTAAAATAACTTACTGTAATTGGAGGCACAGTAATTTTGATTAAAAATTTGCAAAGTTGTTTTGCTTATTTTCCTCTCTTTTCCTCTCCTTTATCATAAAATATTTAGAATTTGGGACAATCCCTGCTGAGGAATTCAAAAACGAGAAGCCTATTTCTAATTTTGTGACCTAGGATCATAAGTTATTGTTCTAAATCCAAAATGTCCCCATTTTTAAAAAAATTTCTGGAACGTCATACTTTTGTCTGCTTTGCCACAGTTTCTATGGATTGAGTGATACAAATTACTCTATATATCCTTAAATCCTAATCTTGAAGTTCACTTCCCAGATTATTATTGGGATTAGCTACACATCACATGAACATGTGCTGTGGGTCCATATAAGAATATTTAAAGCCCATTAAGAATATTTAAAGCTCATTAAGAATACCTTAAAGTCTAATAGACAATTAAAATTAGTCATATGAGGAAAAACAAAACAAATTACTATGCTTACATAATCCAGCTATACTCTTGATCCTTATAACCTGATAGCCTTTAATAACAATAGTTCTTCCTATGGATTTACTAAAAAAAATGGAGTATGCTAACCAAAATCTTGGCAATGTTTCATAATGAGATTTGATCCTGGTGTTCGTAACACGTTTTGTCAATATTTGATTTTAGAAGTCAGATTCCCAGTCCTGGTTTCTGAATCTCAAATTTGAAAGTTTAAATTGCTAATTGAAAAGATTTTTTGTTCACAGTTGGAATGTTGAAAAGAGTTTAGAGCTTATGAGCCATTTTAAATATCCCCAATCTCCCATCTAGCAATTTTAAGATATCTGTTAAAAGACAAGAAAAATGATTAAGTATCCTCTCAACATTTTTGGATCTTGAAATACGTAAGACTTCAGAATAATGTTTAATTACCGTAGAATATAGCATGGCCATAATAATTATCTCCCATCATTTTAGTCTTTAAATTTAAGGGACTCCTTGGAAACAGTGACAAGAAATGAGGACTCCATTCATTGCTAATTTCCTTCTTGGATGATAAACCCTTGGAGATCATTGACTAAGAGTGCTGTTGGGTTAACTCTTCTTATTGCATTGAAGATTGAAGCATTGACAATATTAAGACCATGATTATTCTGAATTTGATCAGCACTATAGAAGCTTTTAGTGGGATTGCTCCGGCAGTCTTGAAAATTCTTTATTGTTTAAAAGCGTGTTACGATACAGACAGAAAAAGCTTCCTTGGTCTTTCAGTTGAATACAGGCATTGAAAATTGAACACTGTAGTTATTATTTAAAAAAAGTCACAGCCTGGAATCTAGCCTTTTCATTTAAAAGGACACCATGGTAGAAATCATATATACCTTTTTGATACCAAACATTAGACAGACACTTATCCCCCCCCCCTCCCTTATGACCAGCCGTTAACAAACACTGTGTTCCTTCCATGAAGAAGGAATAGCCTTAAAATGTCAGAACTGGCTTCATTCTCTGTATCACCTGTCAGTGTTCTCTCTTGTCTTGGTTACCCACCTGCACAGGTAACCTACCTTAATTAGATGAGGCTGACCAAGCCGGATGGTCATAACTATAGATCCAAGTTCCTTAAAACCAGCTGTGTTGTGTTTTCTTGAGCCAGTGAGTGATTTAATCCAGAGGATTGACATTGGCGGGAAAAAAGTTTTATCATCCTGGCCCTCAAAATTACAAGCCTACTTCTCACATCTGTGCCAGGGATTGTGCTAATTGTGCAAGGATAAAAGTATCCTGCTTTTTGTCCACTAGTAGTAAGATGGGCTTTAAAGAGATAACCTTTAAAAGGAAAATTCCCCCTTTTCAACCGCTTGCCAACATTTCTTTAACAGCTTACTATGCAAGAGAGAATTTTGAATATTCACTGGTAATCTTGTAGAACCAGAGGCTCCATTACGAATTTAGAATTGACACCATTCTCTCAAACTTATCCCATAGGCAAAAAGCCAATGCTGCTATAGACTGGACTTTTTTTTTTTTAAATTCCCATGACTGAAAGCCTTTTCTTAGATTTCCATATAAAGATTATTTTTCTGAGGGGGGAGGGAAGTGTGTGTGTGTTGATTTATTTGAAAAATAATTTAAGACATATATTCTTTTCCCCAAATACTAAAGTGTAAGTGAAATGCCAGAATTCCTATTTTAAAACTGTAATATGAAGTTGAACCTGTCAGTTTTTCAACTACAATGCTCTCATATTACTTAATTCATTTTACGCAGGGAAGGTGAGGTGGATAAATTTCATTTCCTAATAGGCAAAAACTATTTGGGTTTTCCTAAACTGCATTTCTAAAACCACTAGTCACGTTAGAGGTATATTTCCATTTATGTCTATTGCACATGTGTTTCCTTTTTAAAACATAATTCACTCCTGCGGTAGCAGAATAACTCCAATTTTAAGATGCTTTATTTGCTTATTTTCTTTCCCAAGAGCACTGTCCTTTCAATAGTTTTTTCATAGATTAATGTATTTTTAGGGAAAATTAATTTTTTATAGCCACTAAACTGTACTCATTATTTTTGTACACTTATTACTAGGTTATTTGGAACACAAATCTTTTGAAATGTCATTTGGTTCCATTTTTGAATTTACTCACTGATGTCGTGTTGCTAAATATTATCATGAGAATCAATGCATTTGAATATGTAGTGGGGGGGCGGGAACAGATTTGAGAAGAAACTATTTCTGGTCCTTTCGGTATCTAGATAGATCTACCAAGGGTCCTTCTTCATGCAGCATATTAGAAAAATATAGGAGCAATCTTTTTCCTGTGCTCTCTCGTGAAGAGTAGAGAAAGATCCCAGGGAAACTGGCTATTCCTTTAGTATAGCCTTCCAAATGGATCTATTGTGGCAATTACTTCCTTTCCTATTGAGAGAATCTATAACCAGCAGAATCAACCTGAAGCAACTCAACTCAAAATTTGAACACATTTCTGGAGATGCGGAAAGTTTTTGGTTAACCTTCCAAGTTTCCACCGAGGAAACACAAAATCCTGAAGCTTTGGAAAAGCCATTTGATTCAGCTGATGAAATTAAGGGAGATCCTGTGTGCTAGAATTTATGCTGCATTAGGGATAGAAAGTTGACCTTCCTCAGTGATACCCTCTCTATTAAAAGAAAAAGGTAGCTGCTCATTAGAGAGGAAAAGGTAATAGTCAATGCTGGACACACACACAAAAAATCATTTAAAAATAAAAAATGCAACGTAATCTGTACTGTAAGCAAACTGTGCCAATATATTACTTCAGTTAAATCACTTAAATCAGTACCTGTTCTATCTGAAAAATGGCTTTTTAATGAAAAAAATGATTAAAAAGTTCGATGTCTGAAATTCTGCAACACATATATTGGAAAAGATGTAAATAATGTATACATATTGTTGTAAGTGATGGGATAAAAAAAACTATATAAATTCTAGGCTTTTTCAGTAAGGAAAATGGATGCTGTTTATAAGAAGAAAAATAAATAGCTATGTTTGACATGACTGTTTTTTTCCCCTTCTCATACTTACAGTTTTTAATAGATGAGATTCATATGTATCTGTACATTGTGCACACCTGATCATTCCTCGATAGATGTGCCCTGCAATCACCTCTCATGGATTTGTTAACTGTACTGCAAGCAAGATAAAATGGCAATAAAACAAACCCATATCTATCCAGTTCCTTCACTCAAGTTACCAAAAGATTGATGAAGTTGTATAAATGGTAGAACAACTGGAAAGGAGATTGTGTGGTTGTTTTTGCCTAGACATAACAGACCCGTAATGAACCTCATTCATTTTGGATAATGATTGGATTCTTTTTATTCAGTATACACGGAATCAGAGGTGGTATTCAGCAGGTTCTGACCAGTTCTGGAGAACCGGTAGTGGAAATTTTGAGTAGTTCAGAGAACTGGCCAATCCCACCTCTGACTGGCCCCACCCCATCTATTCTCTGCCTCCTGTGTCCCAGCTGACTGGCTGGGTCTTCTTTTGTTGCCCTGCACAGGAGAACGGAGCTGGAAAGCAGGTTAGTGGGGAGGGAATGGGGATTTTACAGTATCCTTCCCCTGCCACACCCATCAAGCCACACCCACCAAGCCACACTACGCTCACCAAGCCAAGCCCACAGAACTGGTAGTAAAAAAAATTGAATCCCACCACTGCACGGAATACTTTCGCTTTTGATTTGGAACCAGATTCCAATAACATTTAGAATGAAAGTTTTGGTAGCATTCCTCACCATCTTTCCATGATGATGATGATGATTCTTGCCCCAGCTAGTTCTACCTGGATCAAACAGCCCCATTTTGTTCCATACAGGAATCAACACTTTCAGGGTTGAGCCTGGACCCCTGCAGATTCAAGACATTTTACAGATTTCTAGTATGTTTGTGGGTGTGTTCTCATGCCTGGGAAGATGGATGAAGGGTTGAATGCATGGCTACATTAAAGAACCCTAAACCTTCCCCAAATCATTTGCTAAGGGACACACACACACACACACCTGTTAATTACAGGTAGTCCTCAACTTAATCATTCATTTAGTGATTGTTTGAATTACAATTGCACTGAAATAAATGATTTGTGACCATTTTTCACACTTATGACTCCTGCAGCATCCCCATGGACACGTAATCAAAATTTGGACATATGGCAGCTGCTTCATATTTATGACAGTTGCCCAGGGTTATGTGATATCACCTTTGCAACCATCTGTCAATGGGGAAGGCAGATTCATTTAACAACTGTATCACTAACTTAACAACTGTAGTGATTTGCTTAATAATTATGGCAAGAAAAGTTGTAACATGGGGCAAATCTCACTTAACAACTGTCTTGCTTAGCAATGGAATTTTTGGGC